TTGAAGCCACACCACACCATACCCACACACACACACACACACACACACACACACACACACAAGATCCTGAGAAGCTGGAAGGCTGGGGAAAGGGGATTATAGCATTTGGAGACCCTGCTGAAGGTGTCTCCTCTCTCTCTCTCTCTCTCTCTCTCTTTCTCTGTCTCTCATGTACACACTCTTTATCTAAAAAAATTCTGAGAGGACATATAAGAAAATGCTAACAAAGATGGCTGTGGTTACCTGCTGGAAACAGAAATATGGCTGGAGGAAACGTTTGGCCTTTTACTTCTTTCTGTACCAACCAATTTTTTTTACTGTGTGCAAGAATTTTTTTGTTTATGTTTCTATGAGACTGCAGTCCCCAGGCACCCAGGGTGGGGACCAGTGTGAAACAGCAGGTGACCTTGGTAGTATGGGAGAGAACTTCCAACTTGCCACTCTGAGGGGCTTTTTAACCCTTTGACTGGCTTAGCCTCAGGATCTACAGAAGCTACTCTGCTCCCTCACTCAGGTTTCCTATTTGCTCATCCCTCTCTTTCAACTACATAGAGCATGGGACCATCAGGAGATGAATTAGGGGTGCACATGGACTGCAGGCTCTAGAGAGAGCCTTAGAAAGCCTCACATTTGTCCCTCCACACGGGGCAGATGTGAGGAAATGAAGCCTTAAGTAAGTTAAACAAATCAGCCAGCCTTTTCCATGTGTCCACACTGTCCAGAGCACTAAGGAACTCCAAAAAGCGACAGGGAGACCCCAGCTGAAAGACTGGCCTGGGTTTCCAATGGAAAGTCTCCTCTCTCAGAGGTCTGGTTCCCAGGCTAGTTGCACGTTCCATTGCATCACTCCACAGCAGTAATAAACGTAGTCTGAATACCGAGATAAGAGTGCAGGAGGCAGGGTGGTGTGATGGTTACCAGGGCAGATCTTGGCCAGTCTGAACCTTGATTCTGTTACTGACAAGCTTTAGCTCCTATGGCAACCACTTATCTTGGTCCACTTTCCCATCTGTGACATGGGGAGGATTCAACAGGACCTACTCCATAAGGGTGTTCAGAGGCTAATGATAGATAATGCATCTAAAGTGACTAGAAGAGGCTAAGTGCTCAATTGCCCTTCTTTTCATTATTGCAAAGGAGACAGGGAGAGGTACAGCGTTTCCTCCTCCTTTCCTGAGCTCAGAGACAATTCTGAAATAAGGCACCTGTCATACTTCCCTCTCCACCCCTTCTACCTACAAAGACCTTCTCCATGATTCCTACTCAGTGCTCTCATGCTTCCCCCAGGCCCACCTGTCATGGATCACTAGCCCTGACTCCACAGCCCCAACAATGCCAGCTGTCTTCATCCACAAGTATGACAAGCTCCAGTATCACTTCCCCTCATCACAGTAAATTCCTGTCTCCTTGGTGCCAAAGATCTCAGTCTTCAGTCAGAAAGAAAGGCTTGAGTGAAGCCAGGCCTACTTCCTTAGCCTTTTCAGAGGTGTCCATTTCAGCAGAGTAAAATGAACTCTCATTGGTGGACATTATAATTATAAAACATGTGAGAGGAACACGTCAACAATATATACGCTGGGAGTGAGGAGGGGGAAAGAAGTTAGCTCCCATGTGGACAATCAGCTCCTCTAATCTACTTCTGCTTTATGTAATGTGTTCCTGCTATTTCTTTTTTTTTTCTTTCTTTTTGTTGGTTGTTATTACATAAATTAACCCATTTATTGTAGCCTAGTGAAATTCCAAACATCTGTGGAGTTCCCACTGGTCTTTCAATTCCTTCAGTCTTCTGATGGTGGGCTTTACTGTGACAGCTGAAGTGGTGGTGTAGGTCCAGGCACCACCAGCTACTGTGTTCATGCACGAACCACAGTGCCGGATCTCTTCAGCGCATCTCTTCATCTTGGTTTTGCCAGAGGAGGAGCGGGTATACTTGGCATCCTGGCTGGTTTCAGTTTTCTTCACCATTTTCCTGAGGGAGGCACCATAGCAGAGCCCTACTTACTCACCTGACCTTCTTGGTACATTTAGCCATGTGGCTACAAACTAGGTCTGAGCCCAGAGACCTCTTTTTTCTTTATTAAAATTGAGATAAAATCCGCATAGCCTTTAAAGTATACAACCAGTTGGTGGCTTTAAATAAATTCATAAAGTTGTACACTCACCACTACATAATTCCAGAACATTTCATCATACCAAAAAGAAAACCATACTCTCTGCCAGACACACCTACCCTAACCCTCCCTTCCTCAGCTATGGCAACCATTAATCTTTCAGTCTTTACGATTTTGCCAATTTGGGGCATTTCATATAAATGGAATTATATAATATGTGATCTTTCATGTGTCTTGTTTCTTCCAATTGGCAAGGTTCATCCATACATGTATCAGAAATTCATTCCTCTTCATGCTGAATACTATTCCATTGTATGAAAATGCCACATTTTATTTACCCATTAATAGACCATTTCTCTATTTCTGAACCCAGAGTACCCCTAAAAACACCAAAGATTTTCCATGAAAGTAGTTAGTCTGGAACGTCAGGGAATTTTTTTCTACAAATCCAAGAATTAAACCTAGAACCAAGACTTGGCTCCAACCAATAATAAGCCACCCTCCTAAACTAGAGAACTGTGGGTCACCTTAAAGCTTACCTTTCCCAGAGGTGGGTGCACATCAAAGAAGAAAGTGCGGTTGATATAGTAACTTCCCATTTTTCCAAAGTGAGTCTCATCCCAACTAAAGGAAAAGTGAAAGAGAAACAAGAATTTTAAAATTACTACAAAACCCAAATAGCCTTAATAAAGCATGGTTAAAATTGACCTTAAAGGGGCCAGCAGGTGGTAAAGTGGTTAAGGTGTTGGACTACCACATGGTTGACTGCAGTTCAAGTCCCAGACCTTGTGGCTTGAAACTCATGCCAGGTGCATGTGTGTGTGTGTGTGTGTGTGTGTGTGTGTGCGTGTGTGCCCAAAGTCCTGAGGGAGAAGAGAGAAGGGATTGCGGCATGGCCATCCCCCCGGGGTGGTGGAATGATTTCTCATTTTTACAGTCTATCTCTGTCTCCTCTGTCTCCCAGGGAAGTGCACGTGCTGTATGGCCATATGTACCAAAAAAAAAAAAAAAAAAAAAAAAAAAAAAAAAAAACTGACTTAAAACTAAAGGCTATGTGTTAAAGGTGGTGAAATATGTTTAGATCTTTGATTTATTTATTATGCACTGTATTTATACTTTTAAAAACTACACTGTTCCCTACAGAGATGTATAATGATTACACATAAATCATAAATTACAACAAATATTTAAACAAAATGAAAGCTATGAGTTCCAGGCAACTAATGAGAAAGTTTAGATGAAAAAAAAAAAAAAGAAAAGAAAAGAAAAAAGGAACCAGCAAGTGGTATAGTGGTTAAGGTCCCAACCATGGTTCAAGTTCCAGATCCAGGGGCTTCAAACTCACACTGGGCATGTGTGTGTGCGTGCCCAAAATCCCAAGAGGAGAATAGAGGAGAAAGGATTATGGTGTGGCCATCACCCTATCCCCCAGGTGATCTCTCACTCTGCATCTCTTTGTGTCTCTGGTGAGCATATATGCCCTATAGTAAAAATCTCTCTAAGAAAAGAAGCTTCTGACATAAGTGATTTGAGGAAGCAAGACATCAAGCTGGTCACTGACTTTTATTTAGGTAGATGAGAAAGGTTAAACAATATTTACCAACCAGTTATCATAAACTTAAGTTAAATAAGTATATCTTTATATGTTTATTGAATATCAATATCTATTTGTTTTGTAAAGGCAAAGAGTGTCCCATAATATGGAACGGTTTGTAGTATGAGTTATCCTTCAAGTCTGTTAACTTCTTCTTTTTTAAAAATTATTTCTGTATTTAATTTTATTTGTTATAATTATTTATTTTTTAATTTGACCAAAGAGACAGAGTGAGTGAGATATGGGGAAAGTGAGAAAGCAAGCTGCCAGGTCTGGGACTTCAACCACAGACAGTCATGTGGGAGTCCAGCACCTTAACCACCACACCCCCTACTGGCCCCCCTAAGTCTGTTAACTTCCAAAGCTGAGACTGTATCTGCCATTAGAAAGCACATCACCATGCCTCTCTTAGGGGTCCTTATCCCATGTTGGGATAAGGAGTCAACTGACCACAGCCTGACTGATCTCATTATAATGAACTAACTAATATAAAGATTAAGGGTTTTCTTACTAAGTCAAGAGCATATCTAAAACCTGTCCTTATTGCTTAAAGTGATTTTGCAAGTAAATGAGTGATTCTAATACATTAGTTTTCAAATACTATGCAAAGTTTATTCTTCTGTACACCCACAGAACCTTCTCAAACACCCCATGAGGACTTTATGGCACCTGAGTCATTTGGCTGAACCTGGCTATCTCTGTTTATTTTCTCCCTGCAGCTTAAAAGAAGGCTTGCTGTTGAGTGGCCACCCCTCCCCAGGTCAGCTTCCATCATGAACAGTCATTACCAACTTACTACATAAAGGGCAAGACACACTTTCCCTAAAATGCAGGGTTTAACAGATACAAGTCCAATAGCTGGGCAGACAAGTCAATCTGTACCCGCTAAGCACACCTCCTGACATGAGGGAAAGACAGCAGCATGGTGATGTCAGACAACTTCAAAGCAGTGTGACAAAACAGATTTTCAGGAAGAAGAGAGATCCAGCCCCAGCTCCACCAGGTACTAGTGGTGTGAACTAACAAAACCACTCCTCTCCCCAGATCTCTTTTCTGGCCTACACCATAGAGTCAGCATAGTATCCACCGTGCGCCTCTCCCAGGGAGGTATTAAGGCTCAACTCAGATGACACATGTGAGAGTGCTCTGCAGACCATAAAGTACCACACATGCTGAGTACATCTGCAGTTAGTTTCAAAGTCTAAACATACTGACAAAGGAGCATGAGATTTTTTACTTCCAAAGTTTCCTAGGCCAGTCCTGTAGCACAGTATTAAATGCCACGCACTGGGTCCCACATGACCGGCCACAGCCAAATCCTGGCCCTAGCAGTTTGAAAACACATATGAGAGGAAGGAGAAATGGAGAAGGGATTGCAGCATGACCAGGCCCCACGGGGGGAGGTGCTTGTTCCCTCTCTCTCGTTCTCTTTCTCTCTTTCAGGCAAGCATATATATCTTCTAGAAATAAAGTTTCCCAGGTAAAACAAGTCATAACATTCACATTTCATAGGCTTTTACTGTTTTTGTTGGAGACAGTTCGCTATGAGTTTTGTAGGGTATGCCAAGAATGCAAGGTCCTGGGTCAGGCTGATGGCATCATGGCTAGGGTGACTGGATCCCACATGGTCTACTGCACAGTTTGAGTCCTTGACCTGGTGGCTTGAATAGCACATGCATGTGTGTGCCCAAAATCCCAAGAGAAGAGGGGACTGCAATGTAGTCAACCCCTGGGGAGTGAGGGTGCTTTTTCACTTTCCCTCCCTCTCTCTGAGTCTGTCTCTGAAAAGCACACACACCATATAAAAATTTTTTAAAAAGAAAAAAAAAAAGAATGCAAGGTCATGAGTGATCTTCATCTGGGCCATTTGTGAGTTATGCAAACAAACTTGAGGGAAGTGCTAGTGTCTCCCCCTGGGACAGAGAGCATACTATAAAACAGTAGATTCTCCAAGCTCAGTATTCCTCAGCTGCAAACTAGCCCATCACTTGTGCAAGCATTCATCCAGACCCCGGCATCACATGGGACTTTGGGGCAGGGGAGCTGAGGCCAACATGCTGACACTCATCCTGCCTGCTGTGACATGAGAAGTAAAGCTCCCTGTCTCTGACTCAGGACTTTATCTCCTGCCAGCATCCATAAAACACAGATTGGCGGGATCAGCAGATGGCATAATGGTTACATTGCTGGACTCCCATGTAGTTGACTGTGCTTTGAGTCCTGGACCCAGTGGCTTAAAACTCATGCCGGGTGTGTGTGCATGCATGCCCAAGATCCTGAGAGGAGAATGGAGGAGAAGGGACTGCAGTGTGGCCATCCCTCCTGGAGGGGGGATGTCTCACTTTCTGCCTCTCTGCCTCTCTCTGTCACTCTGGCGAGTGCACGTGTCCTATAGCAAAAGTCTCTCTGAAAACAAACAAACAAACAAACAAACAGTGACTGGCTAACTTACTAGCTTGCAAGTAGGCTAAATAAAATCCCACACCCTGGCAGTCAGGGAGAACAAGCATAGGATGGGGTCATCATGAACTTCTATGAGCTCATCAGAGACAGAGCTTCGTGTAAGCAAAGATGAGGGCTTCTGTGGGCTGGGCTAGGGAATGTGAGAAGACTCCCTGAAATCCGTAGCAAATGCTCTTGTCCAAATAACAGGCAATGGGAGTGGCAAGAGCCGCCCTATTAAAGAAGCTAAATGGAAAGTGGTAGAACTGACACGCTATCTGAACACTGCCTTGGTTACTGCTCACTCTTCTCTGGGCAAAAGGAGGGTGAGATGTGATCCTGACAATGGGGCACCAAGCCTAGCAGCCCCAGCCCAAAGGTAGTATGAATCAAGAAGTCTCTGAAGCTTTAATAGATGGTGCAGCAACAGGTCCTGGTACTCAAAATAGAACTTTGAGCACAGCAAAAACACCGAAGATCCCTGGGAGAGCTGTATGGCTCCAGCCAAATATAAACATGCCTTAATAACTGGGTCAGAGCAATCTCCCCCTTATGTTCCCTGATCCCTTCCCCTCTACCCCAAGTCCAACCTCAACTGCTTTAATGAGAAAGATGATTCAGCGGCCCAAGGTCTCCATGTCCCCAAGAGAACTGAAGACCATACACATACAGCCTAGTATGCTGGCAAACTCCAGGGAAGGGAGGCACTCAGATCCAGGGCTCTATTGGACATGAGGCCCTTTTCTCCACGGAGGCCTTGCTGGGTGGGAGGGAGGATGTGCTAGGTGCAGGGGTTAGCAAAGGCACTGAGGACTGCAGGGAGAGCCATAGCAGTATATCTGGGACTGAAATAAAAAGGGCCCCGGGGCACAAAGGCTCACTGGACACAGTAAGGACACTGGGAAGACAGTGGTGCCAGGCCTCGTGAGGAGCTGAGGAGGAAAAGAGCTTCTCCTCAGCCCTCCCACACTCTCCAACTGGGAAATGGCATATTCTCTGGGTGGCTGTCACTGTGGCCAAATTCAACCGATAGGGTCTGGGCTGAGTTCCCAGTGGAGAAGGGAAGTTAACAATATCAGATGCCTGAGGATGGTAGGGACCTTGCAGGAAAGGCCCACTGGGACCACTTCAATGTACTATTGCTGTGGTTTCTACTGCTGAATACAGAGGCTATATTGATCCCATGAGTGTCAAAGAGTATTATCTTGTTCAAGGACTGTGTGTAGAGAATTGATCCTGTCCCCTCCTGGTGGTCCAAGAAAAATAATATAAATCCTGGAAGAGAAAGAGAAATCGCAGATTTCAAGGTGTAATAGCTGCTGGTGTACAGAGTGGCCGTTCATAGGATCACAGTGCCACCTGCTGGATGTACATACCAAGTACACCTTTCTTTTTTTTTTTTTTAAATACAACTATTACCTACTGCTATACATGTTGAAACTGAGTGCCTGACCTATGAAAGCCTCTGGACTCTTTGGCCTAATAATTCCACTTTAGGGTAGGATAGACTTGGCTAACTGAGGACTCAACAAGGCTTCACTGGTTATTTGGAAATGGTACATTTAAGAATATAGCAGAGGGGGAACCA